GTACACGAATTGCCGCTTCCCCGCAGCCGAGCCGTGTATGCGGGGAAGACTAAGCAGGTGGTCCTGCCTGGTGCTGCGGCTACGGTCTGGACGCTCGGCATTAGTGGCAAATAGTGCAGCTAGTGACTCGGGCTGACCTGTTCGTCTAGCTTTGTGTAGGATGTTTAGGGTTTGGGCTTGAACCATAGTGGAGGGGTCCGGCCAGCCGAGTGAGGCACGGACAGAGGAGATGTGGTCGAATTTCTTTTTGCCGGAGATGATGCGGGCCGCAAAATTTAGAATTTTGTTGATGGTGGCGAGGTTCTTGGCAGACCCGTTGCCATAGACGGAGAGGCAGTAGCGGACGTGGGAAAGGACGAGGGCAGACACAAGGATTGGGAGAGTGCCGGATGGTAGGTAGTGGCGGATGTGGGAGAGACCGATAAGGATGCCGAAGCACTTCTGTGACAGTTGCGATACGTGCGAGTCCCAAGTGAGATGGCGATCAAAAGTGACACCGAGATTTTTTGCTTCAGTGCAAGGTGATAGCACGGCTTGCCGAAACTTGACCGTGAACGGTGGGAGGTCTCGCAGATTTTGACGTGAGCCGATGGAAAGTAGCTCGAATTTTGACTCGTTAAGTTTTAGACCGTTCGAATGAAAGTAATCACCAAGCGACTGGAGAGATGCCTCGAGTTTTAAGATAAGGTCAGGTAGCTCGGACTTGTGTCCAGAGACTAAAACCTGGGTGTCATCGGCGTACTGAATGATAAAAGAGTCGCCAGCGTACAAGCTAAGATCGTTAACGACGATGCTGAACAAGAGAGGACCCAACGATGACCCCTGGAAGACGCCCTGGCTAATGTTGAGCAGTGTGGGACCTTCAGTCGCTGATGGGTGCCCGCCAGATGTGGACCCTCGGAGACGCCGGTATGGGGCCCTCAGAGATGCCGGTATGGGCCCTCAGAGGTGCCGGTATGTGGCGGCCTTAGAGACACCGGTGTGGAACCCTCAGATACTTCAGTGTGAAGCCCTTACAATTGCTGGTGTGGAGCTATGAATGCGCTGGCTTAAATCCCTCAGAGGCCGGTACATGGACATAAGAGCTCAGTGAGAGCTTGTGTGGTGCCTTCAGTGGCCTTGTGGAGCCGTTAGACATCAACATGGTGCTCTCAGGAGCCGGTGAGTCCTCAGAGTCACCGGTGTGGGGCCTTCCGAGCTCCGAGATACTGGTCTGGGGCCTTCAGAGGTGTCGATGTGGGTCCTTCAGATGTACAGCCCACCGCTAAAGTAATGTGTGGTTTTACCAATCTCAACGGATGGCTTTGACCGACGATTTTTAAATGCGGACTGATTGAAAAGAAGACATCAATAGATAAAGTTGTAGCTGCAAGGGTGAAGATACATGTAAGCTACATTTAAAGTCTCGTTGCAGTCTGGCTAATCGTTCCTAGGCTTCAGAAGCAGAACATACCCATGACTGAAACCACACATTACTTCTGCTGTGGACTGTACTTATAGAGCCTTGAGATGCACAGGTGTGGTGGCCCACAGAGGCGCCGGTGTGGGGCTCCCAGAGCCACCGATATAGGGCCCTAAGAGACACTAGTATGACCCTCAAAGGCGCCGCTGTGTGGCGCTCATAAACACTGGTGTGGAGCCATCACAGGCGGGTGGAGCCGTTAGAGGCCGGAAAGGACCCTTAGATGCCTACAAGGAGCCTTCAGAAGCCGGCGTGGCACGTGGGGATAAGCGTGTCTACTTAGGAGCCCTTGAGGTGCTCTCATGAGCTCTGTGGGGCCCTACCGAGCCGAAATATAGCCACGGTCAGTTGCCGCCGCATGGCTCTTCGGACTATCATTCTCAGGGGCCTCATCTGCCTAGTTTGAATAGAAGGGCCTCTCAGACCATCAGTCTCATGGGCCTCCTCTGGCTAGTATAAATAGAAGGGCCTGTTAGACCATCAATCCTAGGGGCCTCCTCTGGTTAGTATAAATAGAAGAGCCTCTGAGACCATTAATCTCAGGGGGCTCCTGTGGACAGTATATATAAAAGGGCCTCTCAGACCATCAGTCTCGGGGGCCTCCCTAGAAAAGTGTAAATGTGGATAGAGGGCCCCCTCAGATTCATTAGGAGTGGACCTCTCTGACTATCAGTCTCAGGGGCCTCTTGTGCCCAGTATGAATATAAGAGCCTCTCAGACCATCGGTCTCAGGGGCCTCTTCTGACTAGTGTGGATAGAGGGCCCTCCCAGACCACCGGTTTCAGGGGCCTCCAGTGGCCAGTTATATGAACAGAAGGGCCTCACAGCCATCAGCCTCGGGGGCCTCTTCTGACTGGTGTGAATATGAGGGCCTCTCATACCATCAGTCTCAGGGGCCTCCTCTGCCTAGTGTGAATATAAGGGCTTCCCAGGCCATCAGTCTCAGGGGACTCTTCTGACTGGTGCCGGATTGAGGGACCTCCCAGACCGAAAGTTTTGGGGGTCTCCTGTGGCCAGTATATATAGAAGGGCCTCTCAGTCCATCAGTATCATGGGCCTCTTCTGCCTGGTGTGATTATAAGGGCCTCTCAGGTCAGTCTCAGGGGCCTCCTCTGACTACTGTGTAGATGGATAGGCCTCCCAGACCATCAGTCTCAGGGGCCTCTTATGACTATTGAGGATAGAGGGGCCTCCTCTGACTAGTGAGGGTAGGGGGCCTCGGCTAGACCGCCAGTGTCAGGGGCCTAAATTTATTCTGACTAGTGTGGATGGAGGGGCCTCCCAGACCACCAGTCTCAGACCTCTGACAAGTGTGGATAGAGGGGCCTCCCAGACCGCCAGTGTCAGGGGCCTCCCCAGACCAGTGTGGAAATTGGGGCCTCCTCAGATCCACTAGGGCCTCTCAGGCCATCAGTCTCAGGGGCTTTGACTGGCAAGTATGAACAGAGGGCCTCCTTGGATCCATCACGGCCCCTTGGAGTCCGTGCGTGGGGATTCGTGGAACTTATTTTTACCGAGATTCTGGAAGGTGACGACGTCCTCTCAAATCGAGACGAGGGGCCTCGAGTAAAAAGTGGGTGGGCCAAAACACATGGTTGGCCCCCCCACCTCGAAAAGTGGGTGGGCACTTGCCCACCTGGCCCCCCCTGTTCCTACGCCTATGCCAGTGGACAATTGAACCAGAAGGCAGAAACAATTCAAATGTCGTACTGCGCTGTATAGGTATAAGGTAGCGCGTGGCTGGACGGACGGACTGTACCAATCTGCCGGTCTGCCAATTGATCTGTGTCCGATCTATTAAAGTGTCCGTCCGAGAGCCGTACGACGGCTGACAGGGCTGACAGAGCCTGGTGGTCGCGAACTGGTGTGTACTGTGAAGCCGTTACGCACACCTGGGACGCCCGAATAGTTAGCAACGTATAAATAATATTCACTTTGATGGCCTAACTCGGGACAGACAGGGCATGTAACGTGGGCTTGGCAGAGTTCAGCCCGCCTGCGGGCCCAGAGGAATCTCCGGTATATAAATGGATTGACTGCTCGGGCTTACATCGGGCTTGCGCCAAACGTCGCGCACGGCGCAACTAGGGCGTAACTACGGCTGTCCTGAGCTCGCCGAGCGCGCATACCTCCGGCAGAGCATTGGCTTTAGTCGGCGTTTTTGAGTCATACGCCGACTGCCCAAACGCTAGCTGGCTTTAGCCCAAGCGCTAGCCGACTTTCGCCCGACTAAAAATATCGGGCAAGCCTCACTTCAGCCTGCTTGGGCCCGGAGTAAAATTGCTGGCTGGGCTACTGGTTCAGTTGTCACTGATTCAGTTGTCACTGGTTCAGTTGTCACTGGTTCAGTTGTCCACTGGTTCAGTTGTCCACTGGTTCAGTTGTCCACTGGTTCAGTTGTCCACTGGTTCAGTTGTCACTGGTTCAGTTGTCACTGGTTCAGTTGTCTACTGGTTCAGTTGTCCACTGGTTCAGTTGTCCACTGGTTCAGTTGTCACTGGTTCAGTTGTCCCTGGTTCAGTTGTCACTGGTTCAGTTGACACTGGTTCAGTTGTCCCTGGTTCAGTTGTCACTGGTTCAGTTGTCACTGGTTCAGTTGTCCCTGGTTGAGCTGTCACTGGTTCAGTTGTCGCTGGTTCAGTTGTCACTGGTTCAGTTGTCCTGGTTCAGTTGTCACTGGTTCAGTTGTCATGGAACCCCGCCATGTATTGATAACGGATAACTGAGGCCGGTACAAAATTCCTTTACATATTGCTACCATATTGCGGTCAGCATATGGCAATGCTACAATCACAACGCAGTATTTATCGTATGCCGTGTTGTTCATGTTGACGTTGTATATCGACCCCCACCGGACACGATTTGGTAGCCGAGGTCTGTGACGTCAGCCGGGCGTGAAGTTTTCCCTTCACCATAGGCTTCACACACAAACTGGCCGAAGTTCATGCCAGGATAGCCCGGCTTGAAAGTGCAAAAATGATTAGATTTTGCCCTCAATAGATTCATTGCTTCATTTTATAACTAAAAACGTCCGTTATTAGTCCTCAATGAAGGTAAAAAGTACTCAAAATCGAAGTTCAAGAAGATGCTGTCCGAGCACAATCTGGTAACATCACGTGACCTCTTTTAAGCAGAATGTATATAATTCAAGGATGTTATTACACGATTGCTGCCTAAAACATCATAAATAATACGCTTGTAACATTTATTGCTTCTGTTTAAGTCATAACATTGCAAAACGCAAAAGTTTATCATGGCAGTCACGTGACCAAAGGTATAGCAGGGGTTGGGACAAGCACTCAAAGGATTTCAAGTTTTTTAATTAAATTATATAAGTTTCATGATGAAATTGAAAGAATGTATTTTTGCTAATGAAATACAAATTTTCGTATGTAAAATATTTTCCTTATGGGCGAAATTCTCCATATAAGAAATGTCAGTGACGTCACCAGGGCTTTACTCAAAACATCCGAACAACATCCGACCTACCCAAGGCCATCTATGACCTACCTGTTTCTTATAGGTATCTTGTTGTATATTTGGAGGCCCACAGAGTAATGCTTGGGACATTTCAGCCACATTTCAGCTACTTGTTCGCATTATTGCAGCTTGCAGCTTCATTCCGTGCAGATTCGTGGGATTGTCGAAGATAAATGAACGAGCTCATGTAAAAATAAAGGCATGAAATGGTCAGATCGGCATTGACATTCCAATTCCAATTTGGTTTCACGCTTTTTCTATCATATTGTACTGACTGGTCTAATCAACAGCTATTTAAAAATTAACAAAGATTATATTTTTCTTATTTGTGCGTTTTTTGTTTTCATGCTGATTGCTGCCTCATTGCTCTATATGATAGTACCAGTAGCCAGTTGCCTTGGTACAGGGCAAACAAAGCAGAAACATTTGGTTGCACTTTGCAGGGCACATCCACATCAGTAAAAAAATTATTTCAATTTGAAGTGTTCAATGTGAACTAACAGGTGCGTATGCCATAAATAATGTATTAGCTTGAAGTATATAGAAGCGAGATAAATGCTCAAATTTAAACTAAGAAGTCAAGGCTCTAGAAGTCGCGGGTTATGCTTGCTCGAGTGGAGTTTGCCTTACCATTTAGGTACCAAAACTGGTGTTTTTTGTTAAGCTTTCTAGCGAGCTGGATCTTCCTATTCCTTTACGGGGTACTAGCCTGCTCATATTTTATCATGAGCACTAAAAGAAGTTCAAATACTACTGTTATAACATTTCTGCAGCTTTCCGTAACCTGTATAAGCATTGCTGTGTTAAGCACTAGTCTTGCAATTTAGAATTATCTGATAAGTTTCATAAATCACTGGATCCTCATTCTTTTAACATGATTTGGTTTGTGCCTACCTTAGGAAATGTAATTTACCTAGTCTGCATTTATGCTTTGTTGTTGATGAGGATCAATGACATGGTTTTATTTACAGATATGGCTGTATTTGATCCATTTTACAGGTGTAGAACAGGATGAGCTGGTTCGACACAACTGGTTTTGCCAATTTGGCAAAGTCTGCTCTGAAGGAGGCCCAAAAAACCTTTGACAAGGCCCTGGATTTGCCAGACATTGAAGAAAAACCTTCAGTGGATGACAACAAGGGAAAGGGTTAGTAGGACATATAATACTTGATTTAAGTATGTGACATAGCAATTGAAACTTAAGTGCACATAATAACAGGAATCATATAAGCCTATATTTTTTAATTCACAATTCCTTGTTCTCCTGTACAAATAAAAATGATTTCACCATATAGTACAAACTTACATAAATATGTTACACTGCATTCTGCCCTCACCCCCCCCCTCTCTCTCTCTCTCTCTCTCTCTCTCTCTCTCTCTCTCTCCCTCTTTCCCCTCTCTTTCCCCTCTCTTTCCCTCACTCCCTTCCCTTTTTCTCCAACAGATGACTCGGAGAGCTTCTTCTCTGCATTCGGCCTGGGCGGCAGCAGCAGCAGCGGCTCAGGAGGGACCGGGGGCGGCCCATCAGCGACCTCCGCCGGTGGATCCGAGAGGCTGGCTGCCTCGCTCTGGGGTTCGCTGGGTGCCTCCCTGCTGGGGGATACGGCGACAGGTAGGGGAGGGGGAGGTGGGGAAGGGAGGAAAGGGATGGGAAGAGAGTGAGGGAAGAGAAAGGAGTGAGGATGAGCAGACAGGAAATATGAATAGAATATGTGTGTGTGTGGGGGGGGGGGAGGGGAGATGGAAAATGTAGGCATAGGAAGCGGATGTGAGATATGAGATCCGTCTTGCTTTACGTCACGCGTCTAGCGTCGTACGCCAGTGGTTCCCAATAATTCTGCGCGGACGAATTTCGCCGACCGCTGACGTGCCCCGTCCTCCCCTTTCCTACCAGCTGAACAGCGGTCCTCCAGCAGCTCAGCTGAGCCTCCGTCCGGGCCCGTGACCTCACCACCCAACGGGCTGACCCGCACCGGTAAGGAGGGGTTGGATGCCGGGGGGTGCATAACGTGTCAGTATTTCAGCTGGTCGTGATTGAGGTCTGCCAGTTGTTCAGTCGTAGTTCCTGCAGCCATGCAGTTGTAAATATGCTGAGTTCTTGTAACTTGTGATGTAAAATCGGCTCTGTAATACCGCCTAATGAATCTAAGTCAGCCAAGTTGCTTTAGTTTCCGTGGTTACCGACTTTTTGCTTCGATTCCCGACTCTACCAAAGCTGAGGTGCTCGTTCTCATGAACTCGACTTTGTCAGGATTCAGGAATCTGCAGTAATTATGTCCTTTGGCCTAATCTAGAGCCGAATATGTCCCACAAATTGCCATTACCTTGTTCTTAAGCTCCGCTTTGCGTTGTTTTTCCAGAACGGTCAGCTACACCGGAAAGCCGGCCCGAACCCCCGTCTGCCCTCCCCGTTGGCGACCTGGCGTCGGCCGACGGCTGGGCGGAACCCCTGTCTGCCAGCCCCGGCGACATCTCGGCGCTGCGCGGAGACTCGCCCTCACCGGACGGATTTCAAAGCAGCGTACTGGTGGTGGCGTCCCCTTCGAGCGAGTGGCCTCCTCCGCTGCCACCTCCCGGGGATACCGCCACCCCCGAGTCTATAGAGGTGCTGGACGGCAGTGACCATGACTGGGAGGCAGGATGGGAGGCCGGTGGGGACAGCACCGGCACGCTACAAGACGCAGACGCCCCGGCAGAAAGTCTGCATAGCTCAAACTCCAGCTGTCATACGTTAGTGTCTGCAGATGGTGGCGCTGCCTATAGTGCGTCAGTGGCGCCGCCACGCGGCAGACCGGCGGACTCACCCGGCGAGAGCACGTCATCCGAGTCTTTCATTAGGTTGGGTTTGGGTGCGTCACCTCTGACGTCACCCGATGCCGGCAATATGACGTCACCTGATGTTGAATTAGTGACGTCACCAGAAGCTGGTAACGTTACGTCACCTGATGTGGAGGTTGTTACCTCCCCTGACGCTGCAACTTCCAAATCTCCCTCCATCGCGGTTGCTGGAGACCGCACACCAGTTACGTCACCAGAAATGGGTGACGTCACCTCACCTGACGTAGAGATCGTGACATCACCGGAGGGCGAAGCGGCACCAGCGGACGCGTCAGGAAGACTACCAGTCCCAGAGACGGTCCCTGCGCCGTGTGGCGGCTCTGGAACGGTAGATTCATCGCGGGCTGAATCTCCCGCCTCGGTTGATCCGACGGATTCGACAAACGGATCGACTGGACCGACCAGCTCAGCGGAGCCTGTTAGCTCAGAGCCAGTTAGCTCAGTGGAACCCGTGAGCTCGGAGCCAGCTGTGAGCTCTAAAGAACCTGTGGAGTCAGATCAAGTGAGCTCTGTAGAGCCCGTGAGCTCAGAGCCGGGAAGCTTAAAAGAACCTGTTAGCTCAGATCCAGCGAGCTCTGAGCAAATGAGCTCTGTAGAACCCGTGAGCTCAGAACCAGCCAGCTCAGTGGAGGCAGTTTGTTCCGAGCCGGGTAGCTCGGTGGCTCTCGTGAGCTCCGTGGGTCCCACCATCTCCGAGCCAGGCAGCTCGGTGGCTCTCGTCAGCTCCACCAGTGAATCTATCGAGCCGGTGCTGTCTGGTGCCGAACCCCCGGCGGGGGCGGCGGTGGACCGGCCTGGATCGGGGACGCCGCCCAGGGAGACGTCTGCGGAGCCGAGCTCCGGATCGGCCGACAGGTGAGACGGCACGTGCGGGGAGCGGGACGGGATGGGGAGGCGATTGGGTGACTTGGTTGGATTGGGAAAAGGGTTCTAAGAGTGATGTAAGGGATGGGGACCAAGATGCTTTTAGTGAATATCAGTATTAAATTAAGTAAGATTACGTAAAATATATTCAAACGTTACTATTTTTGGCGTTTTTAGTCAATGTTATTAAATAATTCATGGGAACAACCATTTTACTCTAAGTTGTAATTCCCGTAAAAAATCGTCATCCTTATAAATCATCCACATTAATCGCCAGAGTTGTAGGCCGTTAAGTAATGATTTCGGTGAATAACATGCAATGTCCACACCAGTACGCTTCGCTCCTGGTTGCCAACATATAACCCTCGTTTACAATTCTCCCACCCCCATTCCCAGCAGCGGCGGCCGCGGTCGCTCGCCCCACGAGTCGGGCCACACCTCAGCCGACGAGATCGAGACGGCCACCTCGTCTGACGTGGAGGTGCTGGCGAGCCCTCTGACGGAGAGCAGGCACCTGACGGCGCCGGCCGGACGGACCAGGAGAGCCGGCCCGGCGGCGGGGACGGCAGCGGCCGGCGAGAGGGCTGATACGCCGAGCAGTGACGGGTCACACCCGCCGCACCCACCGACCGGTCACCAGAGAGGTGAGGACCGGGGAGGGTTGTGGGGAACGGTGGGAGCTACATGGTTAAGGGGGTCTTGGAGCTAAGGGGTCGTGAGTCGCGACTCGTGAGCGTGAGGAGAAGGGCATATGGCAAAGTAGCTCATGAAACAGTGAAATCGGACGTCTCATTAATTCGTTGACATCGTCACAAGTCTCCCTGCCAGCCAGACCTTACTAAAATTATAGTGGTGGCAGCGACAGGCTTATTTCCTTTTTTGGTGGGCCACTGATGGAAATTTTTGCACAAACTTCGAAAAGTGTCGTTTTAGGAGTAACAAGGTCATTTCTTGCGAGTTATTTCGTAAGTTGCCCGTCTCAGTGCGTGGGTTATGCAGCTGGCCATATTCCTGCCCTCCTTATAAGTTGCCATTTCCCCGACCTCATACCCCAGTACCGTCTGACTCCTCCTCCCCCTCTCCACAGAGCCGGGTCACCGCCGTAACCTCTCTCAGACCTCAGTAGCCTCGTCGGACCTGGACCCGGACTGCGAGCAGCGCTGGCCGCGCCGGCTGGCCGAGCTGCAGGATGTGCTGGCCGCCAGGGAGGCCAAGATGATGGACCTCAGCCGGCTGAACGTCACACTGCAGGAGGACAACAGCAACATGCAGAGGTGGGAAACGGCAGCATCTCGCAGGCTGTTCAGATGTGGAATGAGGTATATGATAGGGAATTAGGGATAATGTGCGGCATATAACCCAGTGTGACGATGTGCAGGGGCTTAATCTGTTAGTGGATGGTTAAAAGCAAGGGCCTTACAAGATTTCCTCACTGAGCAAGTTAAGTGAGGAAAATTTACTCACAAGAACTTGACCTGGCCGTGCAGAGTGTTTTGATCTTTACGTCCAGACGTATCGGCTAGGACGGGAATTAGGGTACCCCCCCCCCCCGCCCCGCTCGCTACATATCGCACTGGCGCGCATTGGCGTACAATCGTAACGTTTATCTTGTTGTAGCTCATGAGCGGTGTGAATGCTACTTGCCTCATTCTTGCTGCTTTTACTGCTGATGCCTGTAGCTCAAACAAATTATAACCTTACCAATCGTCTTGCTCTAGTGTATATCACCTATATTTGACATCATTCACTTGTCCACTACCAGTCCAACATCGGTCTTTCTTCACAGTCGTCTGGAGTTGCTCGAAGCGCAGCTGGCACGCAGCACTAGCGCCTCTGGCGGTCACCTGGAGAAGCTGACCGCCGAGCGGGACGCCCTCCAGAAACAGCTGACGGTGGGTGTGGGTGACGTCACTGTTGTAACCGGTGGTTACTGGTGGTCTTTTGATGTCGAAACCAACCATATGCCAGATGCTTTTATGATACTGTGCTGACACCTCATCAGTCGCAGAATACGTTGCGGCCGAAAGCCGATGTGATCGCCAGATAATGATGGCATCACTTGTCTTCTACTGGCTTTACTGCTGAATATGCCTGTAGCTCAGACAAACTAAATCCTTACCAATTGTCTTGGCCATCATTAAGTTCTGACCACCAATCACCAACAGATGCTAGTTGCTACCCATCTTCACGAATCTCTTACAAATCACTCACCAATGACTTCTCTCACCCATCGTCCCTCACCCACCACCACTCATTCTCACACGTTTCATCCCATTCTCTCCCCCAGGAGGTCCGGCGGCGGTGCTCGGCGCTGGAGGAGGCGGTCACAGAACGAAACACTACCGTGGAGGAACTCCGGGCAGAGGGCGAGAAGCTCAGCCGCGATCAGCTCAAATTGAACACGGTCATCAAACGACTCAGGGCCAAGGAGCGGGAACAGGAGGCCGCCAACAAGAAACTCGAGTGAGTTGGGAGTGAGAGTTTGGAGAGCTTGGTTCGGTACGTAATCAGGGCATGTTTGAGATGAATGTTTGAGAAGTTTGGCTCAATAAGCTTGATTCTGGAAAATCGAGCATGTATTATTCCGAGCTCGGATCATTTTAGAGAGACTGGCTGAAAAAAAGTTCCGGTGAGAAACTCCACGAGCTAAAGTCGACTTGATTTAATGATATTTGTCTCAGTAATAAACTGGAGTGATCCTTGTATAGGGTTCATAGTTCCGAATTTGGCTCGATAAGCGTTGACTCTATTGCGTTTGAAGCGGATACTTTGCCTCAGTGAGTTTGCCACCTTCTCCGGCACAGCACCCCTCGTCCGCCTGCCGCAGGGAGAAGGTGTCCCGCCTGACCGCCGAGACCACCCAGCTGACCGAACAGCTCGCCTCACTGAAGGAGTCCGACCGAGAGCAGGGGCGCGCGCACAAACAGCTGACTAGCCAGCTGACGCGCGCCGAGCGGGAGGCGGCCGAGGCGCGCCGGGAGGCGACTGAGGCGCGCGAGGCCAAAGCGGCCATGGAGACGGCGCTGCAGGCCGCGCATCGGTGAGGCGGGGGGGGGGGGGGGTGAGGATTCAGGGTTAGCCTGAGGGAAGCGGATGGGAATATCGTATTTTGTTTTGCATGCCAGGCCGGTTGATTTCGTGTTGAATGTGCGTGGTGGATTATTTTGCCTACGTTGGAGAAAAGTACACTCGACCTAGCCTTAATTATGCCTTTCAAGCCATGAGTCTATTTTGTCCCTGGCTCAGATCCTGTCACAGACACAGTGTCTGGCTTTTACGCCGTTGCTCTACAGCAGACACAGGTTCCTACCTAGCCAAGGACTCACCATTACTGGCTACACATGACTCCGACTCTGACTCTCCGTTCTCTCCGCCATCAGTGAGGTATCGGAGCTGGAGCGTAAGGCGCGCGAACACGACTCTGAGGCAGCCTCCCGCGAGCTGTCGGCCGAGATTGCCGCCAAACAGCGGCTCGAGAAGACGCTCACAGAGTACCGCGCCACCGTGGCGCGGTGAGTGGGAGAGAGAGAGAGAGAGAGAGAGAGTGGAGCGCGGGATTGGACACGGAGATTGACATGGGATTGGACACGGAGATTGGCATGGGATTGAACACGGAGATTGGCATGGGATTGGACAAGGAGATAGGAATGGGATTGGACACGTAGATTGGCATGGGATTGGACACGGATATTGGCATGGGATTGGGCACGGAGAGACGGACTGGGCCGAGGCATGGACGTGAATGAACATTGCGGGGGCAATTTTTAAGGCGTGAGATTGCGTCGGAATACAGACCTAGCATATTTTACGAAGGAACCGTAACATTTTTTGATTATTTTATATGGTTGCCTTAGCTGGATCTATGGAAAGTTTGCGTTTTTCAGTATATATGATCCGTTTATACATGCTTCTCTATTAGAGTTTTGACGTAGTGCCTGCGTGCTGGACTGTTCCCTCACGTATTGACTGTGTGGTTTCAGGGAGCAGGAGGATCTGTTGGCGCAGATCGAGGACCTCCGAGTCAGTCTGCGGCGGTTGGAGAGGGAGAGCGCCAGGTCAGAAGGAAGGAGAGAGAGAGAGAGGAGAGAGAGAGAGAGAGAGAGAGAGAGAGAGAGAGAGAGAGAGAGGGAGAGAGAGAGAGAGGAGAGAGAGAGAGAGGGAGAGAGAGGGAGAGAGAGGGAGAGAGAGAGAGGGAGAGAGGGATAGGGAGAGGGAGAGGGAGAGGGAGAGGGAGAGGGGAGGGAGAGAGAGAGAGACCGACGGACACGTGTATTGAGTCCTATAGAATATAATCGCACATAATTCTTCTCATCCGCAGAAAAGCGCCGAGTTGCACCCTCGTATGTACAACGTCACGTGCTTACCTAATTAAGAACCTCACACTCTAACCCATACTACAGTGTTAGTATTCGAGTAAATACCGTGACACCGGCTCGGTACACGTGTCACCGGCGTATCTACACCACTGTGATGTCCTCCTTGGTGTGTAGATTAGTACGTTGGTCTGATCTTCATATCAGTCTTCTTCAGTGTCTCCCCTCCCCTCCACGTGTCCCACCGTATTCCAGTGTAGTCCCATTTACCGCCGTCCCGGTACCGTCCGTTCAGGCTGCTCTCCCAGCACCCGCGGTACCACCAGGCCCCCTGATAGTCCTGTGCACAGTGACCGTCAGACCAGCCGTCCTGGTCACGGTCACGGGTAGAGAACTTCTCATTGACGCTGAACTGCAGACCATTCCCGGCAGTTCCTGAGTAGTCGGTATAGCTCAGTGTGTAGCCATCCACCTCAGACGAGATACGGAACTGTTGGTATGTAGCGTATGATCTACTACCGTCAAACGCTTCCAGATCAATACGAAGCTCGTACCGTCGGCCTGATGACGTCAGCTGAAATAGGTGTTCTAGGCCCCACCAGAATTCTTTGGTTACATTACCAAAGCCCTCCTTGTAGTCCGTCCATCCGAGGTAGAAGTCTTGGTGCGGCTCGATGTTGTCTCTTTTCTGAAACACCGTCCAGTTCCCTCCGGCAGTGTCCATGTCGCAGTACGACTGGACGGGTGGTTGTTTGCTGTCACCACTGGGCCGAAGGAGGTAGACTCCAGACGGGGAATCGACAGGCAGGTCGCTGCAATCACGAATTCGGTGGTGCTGGTGTACCGTAGCTGCTAGGTCATCAATACGCTCCTGTTGGGATGAAGTGTTGTTTATAGCTCCGGTCAGCTTGGATCCTAGAATGTCAACCTGGGAGGTCAGGTTATCCATTCTGACTGAAACTTCACGCTGAATCGTTTTTTGCTCGTTCAGCTGGTTGTTGAGCTCGCTCAGTTGAGATTGCTGGCTGTCGAGCGTTGTAGCCAGTTGAGACGTCTGGTTGAGTTGATCTCCTTGCTGTGTAACGATGGTATCCAGTTGGGCCGTGAGGCTGTTCACTGTGGCTGCAGTCTCCTCTTGTTGTGATTTTTGTTCGTTCAGTTGTGACTGCTGGCTGTCGAGCCGCGTAGCCATTTTACGCATTTCACTCACGTGTTTTTCCATGCGGATGGCGATGGCACTCAGTCGTTCTGTGAGGTCGTTCACAGTGGCTGTCGTCTCGTCCTGCTGGGATTTTTGGCCGTTCAGCTGTGTGACGACCTCGTCCAACTGAGTCTGCTGGCCGTCCAGTCGGCCGGTCAGCTCCTCCATTCTGCGCTCCAGAGCCTCGATTCTAGACTCCAGCCTGTTCTCCAGAGGTTCCGTTCCTGACTGCAGTTCATCACGCACCACTTGCTGTATGAATTCCTTTCCTTGGATGCACTCACGAACCACTTGCTGTATGATTTCACTCAGCGGGATTGACCCGCCACCGTCACAGCCGGCCGTCACGATGAGCACGGCCAAAGTCAGGAGCGTCACCAGCCGGCTGCTGAGGGCCGACATGGTGACACGGACACTGAGCCAGTATGTGGTCCACCGTCCTCGGCTGCCGCCCTCGGACTGACGGCTCGGAGCTGGCAGGGTGTCTTCAGAGCTCGGTGCGGCTGGCCTCTGCCAGAGGCGCCACATCCGGTCAGGCGGCCCGGTCCCATGACCGACAGACTCGGCGATAAACATTTACCTTGGACTCTGGCCACTGCGCTGCAATACTGCCTCACCCGGTCGTCGCATCCATCAACCCCGTTGGTTTATACACAATACAATCTGAAGAGCTTTTTCGAGAGAGAGAGAAAGAGAGAGAGAGAGAGAGAGAGAGAGAGAGAGAGAGAGAGAGAGAGAGAGAGAGAGAGAGAGAGAGAGAGAGAGAGAGAGAGAGAGAGAGAGAGAGAGAGAGAGAGAGAGAGAGAGAGAGAGAGAGAGAGAGAGAGAGAGAGAGAGAGAGAGAGAGAGAGAGAGAGAGAGAGAGAGAGAGAGAGAGAGAGAGAGAGAGAGAGAGAGAGAGAGAGAGAGAGAGAGAGAGAGAGAGAGAGAGAGAGAGAGAGAGAGAGAGAGAGAGAGAGAGAGAGAGAGAGAGAGAGAGAGAGAGAGAGAGAGAGAGAGAGAGAGAGAGAGAGAGAGAGAGAGAGAGAGAGAGAGAGAGAGAGAGAGAGAGAGAGAGAGAGAGAGAGAGAGAGAGAGAGAGAGAGAGCGCAAGCCAGAGAAATGTCCCGAGAAATGGCTTGCTCTCTCTCTCTCTCTCTCTCTCTCTCTCTCTCTCTCTCTCTCTCTCTCTCTCTCTCTCGAAATGTCCCGAAAAATGACACACTAATCAAAGCCCGTGCAAATATACTCTGGAGGCTCTGGAGGGACGCCGATCAGTAGTAAAACCGAGTTGTTGTCTTGTAGACAAAAAAAAAAACAAAAAAAACAAACAAAGCATTGACTGATACACACTGCTCATGGTGTCGATGGTTTCGGGCGTGTCTCCCACGTGACTCCTCCCCGTTACCACCTCCCTGTTCGTTTTTGTTTTTGTCCAGGCGAGAGGACGGTTTCCAGGCGGAGACCGCCGAGCTGCACCGGCGTCTGCTGGACTCGGAGAGCCGCAACCAGCAGCTGGCCGACTCGGTTGCCATGGCGACGCGTCCGCTGCAGCGCCAGCTGGAGACGCTGCAGGCGGCGCTCAGCTCCCAGCAGCACAGCTGGGAGCGAGCCGAGCGGGCTCTCACAGAGAAAAACGGTCAGTGGGTCAGAGAGGGACAGAGGGCAACATTTTCATTAACGGAGAGAAATTGACACTTAAGACAACGGTCTGGGCAGGGAAGACAGAAAGACTGGAGGAGCGTTTCGCGAGACGGACGGGGCAGGGTTCGGGAAGAGAGCAATGGTCGGGTTCCGGGGATGAGTTGGAAGATGAGCAGTGCGGATGGATGGAAAGAACTCTCTGGAGCGTGAGAAAATAAGTTGGTATTATCCTGTATGCCTGCTGATTGTCTCATAAAAACGCCGTACGGTCTTGAAAGTCTTGGAAGAAAGCTGGTGCGCTTTCATAAAGGACATATCGCTAAACTTCAGGTGTAATCAACTCCTTCAAATTCCGTAAACCCCGCCCTAACCCTATATCTTCCCCCCCCCCCCCTCCCCTCCGTACAGTGGAGCTGCAGCGTCAGCTGGCCACCGTCACAGAGCGGGAGCGACACGTCTCAGACCAGTACGTGGAGGCCGCCGCGCGACAGGCGCCCCTGGAGGCCTCGCTCGCTGAACTGAAGGCAGAGCGGGGGAAGATGGCCGACAAACTGACGGCGGTGGAGGCGAGGGCGGCTGAGACTGCCGCCGCGCTCGAGAGGTGAGGGATTGTAGTGAGGAGTAAGGGCGGATTCGCATAGGGCAGTAATGATGCTGGGCTAAAAGAAAAGATTTTTCCCATACGCCGAGATTATATAATATCACACGGGGCCGGTAAAATGTTTCATTCAGGACCGAGGGATTTGTTGAGTTTTCCGCACGAGACCGAAGGTCGAGGGCGGAAAATTCAACAAAGCCCGAGGTCCTCTTGCGAGGTCCTGAATGAAACATTCCGGCCCAAGTGTGATATTTATTTTAGAATATGCCGTTTAATTTCCATATTTAAGCTTCTTTAACAATTGTACATGCTTGAAAGAAGTGAAAAAACCAAGAACGAATATCAAGAACTAAAAAATGTACATATTCCCTGACCTTAAGATAATAAACCAAGCCGACTCAAGATCACTGTGTTCCATCCTTGTGTCTGGCTCTGAGTTGGATTCATATCAAACCAAAAACACCTATTTCATATGTCATATGAGAAGCTAGAGTAACGTTCGTTTTCAATGTTAGAGAAGAGTGGAAGGTATACCATCCTGTAAAGTGAGCGCTTGGTTTTTTTACCCATGTCAGTATGAATAAAGTTTTTACTGATCAATGTGAAATGCGTTTTTTGTCAATTCATTGCAGTTGTAAAAGGCATGAAATTGACGCCATAAATGTAGGTGATTAACTAATATGTCTGTACATTAGGATTTAAAATATAATGTTATTGAAAACCAACATTTACAATCTGTTCAATAGTTCAAAGCGACCAAATGCAACACGTAAGTTCACGTTAGATTTCTATCAGTTAAGCTCTTTTCCAGTGCCTTCCTCCGTCTCAGGAAATGCTTCAAAAGTTCGCTGATAAAATGTTTTGCCCATGGGATATGCTAAATCCCTTTAGCATTATGCTAGCCGTGCGGTAAACATTTGCACGTGATCTTTCCTGCACTGTCTTCCGGCACGGGTTGATGACCTACAGTTCTGGTGATTTTTTTATAAAAATCTTAAAAAAGGTGATTTCAGTAATTAAATTGTGAGTTTCTGAATAGAAATTAAACGACCTATGGGAAATATCTTACTGAACTTGCTCTGGGAAGAAAAATGGAAACCTCGGTCTTCAAAAAGTCTCCGGCACTCGGCTACGCCTCGTGCCTACAATTTTTTAAAGACCTCGGTTTCCATTTTTCTTTCCCAGAGCCGCTCAGTAATATATAATCATGGACTCTTCACAGATTAAATGCTATTGTATTCTGTATTCTGTATTCTGTATTCTGTATTTGCATTAACCGACTATTGCGGAAGTTTTGCATTGCACCTCCTGTGCAAAACATATCTTCGTCAACCTTTGTATTGTTAGTCATTATTCGGTCACAGCGAATCGTTCAAAGTGAGGTTGGCGAGTCCATAATTGTTTCGTTTTTTTTTTTTTGCATTGTGTTCTGAACTGTAAATCATCGCGTTTTGTTGCGTGAAATGTGTGCTTGTGCGTTTTTTTTTTTTAACTCAGCAATCACCATTGAATAGAGGATATCTTCGAATGAAAGAGACTCCGCGATATTAAGCATCTGCTGGCTCCCCATGAACTCCAACCTCGTCGTGTCTCCGGCAGGTGCCGCTCGGAGCGGGCGGCCTCGGAGCGTCAGCTGGCCGCCCAGCTGACTGAGCTGCGGGTGGCCCAGGACGAGCTGGAGCGTCAGCTGGCGGCCGAGCGGGCGGCACTGACCGCGGAGAGAAGTCGTACCGCGGCGCTGCAGGAACAGGTTAGAGCTGGGTAGAGGGTGTCCCGCTGCCTCCTAATTTCGGGAGTGGTAGAGGAGGGGCGTTTGGCTGACGTCCTTGGACGTAAAGCCATGAGGAAAGAGGAGTGGTTGTCACCACCACTCTAACTTTCCCTGCATTCCTCGTCCAGTATCGCGAGTTACTCGTAAGTTCAACCCCAGCTGGCCTTGAACTGAATCGCCTTGCCTTCAGATGCAAAAGCGCAGCTATGATCTCCGATTTGACGCCCTGCAATAACCAACTGGCTTTCACGCCTCATGTCGGGCAGCTAACCTGACCCCCCCTCCCCTTCCCCCTCCGCAGGTCCAGGAGCGCGGCCGCCAGCTCTCTCACTCGCAGTCTGTGGTGGAGTCTGTCACCAGTCAGCTCAGCACGCCCCGCACCTCACCAACGCCCAGCCTGTCGAGGATATCCTTCTCCAGCTCAATGCACGAACTGGTGAGTCAGTGAGATGGGTGGAGAGTTACGTGAGTCGGGTGATTGTTCGGTGAGTTATGTGAGCTAATAACGAGCTAGTCAGCCACATCGGTGAGCTATTAGGCCGGGCTGATGAGTTGGCGAGCCATTTGATGATTCAGAAAGCTGGCAAACTGCTCAGCGAGTTAAATTATAGCACCGCACACCCGTAACGTCATTTAGCGTTCGTTGTGACAATAACTGCATGGTGCGTCGGTGCATGATTGGACTGGCCGCGCGATCCCGAGCTGGTCGAGGTGGTGGGGGCTGCTCAGAAGCCGTGTGGAGTCGGGGCTTTGTGTGTGTGTGTGTCTCGGACGCCCATACTGCTCTGCCTGCCCGTTGCATGTGTCTGCTGGGTGCTGGTTTAGTTTGTTTTCTTGCCTGTGCTGAAATGTTTGGTGTGGGGAGGGTCCGGACTTTGCACGTGGTATGTTGTTCGACTGGAGATGAATTAGGGCATTCACACAAATAGGACACATTTTCACGGTCAGTGACGTGGATGTCTAAAGTATCTTCTCTTCATCAACTGTCATCAAACAAGCTCATCAGTGTTGATATTTATTGGAGTACTTCAAGGCTACGCATTGCCTCCAGATAAGCTTACAACACCGTGTCTTACGTCATATGTTCACACATTCTGCTTTTTTGTCCGTCCTTCTAAACGCACCTAGCACACTTGCACAGACTCTTACTTGCACTATCATTGGCACACAGTCTTCACAGCGTGTCCATGTCTAAGGAAGTCACCTGGCACATGTTACAATGTCTTTTGTTCGGTGGGCTCACTCTTGCCAAATTCTACCATTTGTTTTTCTTGATATGTACTTTTTTGCTGCGTTCTACCACCTCCACTGTAACCCATAGAAGTTTGTTGTATGAATTCATTTTTATGCGGTAGTCCGATTAGTCAATTTTACATGAATGTTCACTTTACATGAATTTGCAATATTCGCGCCCAGTCCTTATTGACCGTCACTATGCATCATGCTAAATAACTTACTTAGGGACGCCCCCTAACCCCGTTAGATTAGACCATATACCTCTGTACACCAGTTCAGACCTCTGTAGGTGTACAGACGTCTATGATTAGGCGTTTGATTGCACGTAAAACTTCACGTCGCATTGCGTGAATTGATGCGTGAGATACGCGGGAGGTTGAACATCCCTGTAAATTCTGGCATGTGTTTGCCACTAACATCATGAACCCCCGAAGTCCACACGGGTTGTAGCGACTAGCCCGCGAGTCACCCGCTGATACAAGTTTGCCTGTGTGTGCTCTACTAACGAATTCCGTCTCGCCCCGTCTGCTGGGCGATGGCCAGGCGACGGCACGGCAGGCCACCAATGCGGTGAGTTGTTGCTCGATAATCGGGCAGTGGGCGGGGGTTGGTGTTAGCAGAGCAGTCCGCCGCTTGCATGTGTAGATATTGTGTTGGAAGCTTGGGTTCTGGTTTACTGTGATTGATGATTTGCGTACCTTACTGCTTGAGATTAAATCATAATTTCCCCGCTTTGAAATCGTAAGTCTCCACTTTAGAGATATTCACTCCGCTGAGCTATGAGAATATCCACACAATTCATAGATCGAGATCTGCGTCTATCTGTCAGCTCTCGTTTGTCCGCCTCACACTTGTCTTGTCACTCCTGCCCCCCCCGCCGCCCCCACTGACCTCTGTTACCCTCTGCTGGCCCCAGGACAGTGTGTTTGACTCTGCCACGCCGCGCGCCTCGGCCGGGATCAGTCTGTACGACTCTGTCCGCGCGGCCGCCGCCGGGCCCGGAGGAGCGTCCGTGGTGGAGTCACTGACGTCACAGCTCAAACAGAGAGACGGTTAGTCGGAGGGGAAAGAGTAAGGGAGAGAGACAGAGTACGTTGTTACAGAGGAAGGAATCTTAGGTGGAGGGTTGTCTTTGGGCAGGGAAATATTTGAGGATATATTTGACGAGGATGGACTTATGATGACTGGGGAATAAATATATTTATGGTGATATGAGGAGACTTTATGTAGACTGTAGACTGCCATGCTATTAGTCAATTTCATCACCATATTTAATTCTGAGCTGCTATGCTTGAATGCCACTAGGTGTGGGTAGTTGAAAAAGAGGAGGGATAATCGTAAAGAAGATTGCGCCAAGTATGTTGCTACAATCAGAAAAAAATGACGTCAAAATATCAAGTAGTCCATGATTCACATCACTCTCGCAGAAAGACATATGTGTCGTCAGCAAACAGATGGCTTGTCTCTTTGACTTGCTCAAACAGTCGGCTTGCCGCTCCCCCATTGACCGCCAGTTGACCTCGCCCTCCCCTCCTCCCTGGTCAGGTGAGGTGGCCCAGCTGCGCTCGGAGCGGTCGGACCTGGAGCTGGCGCGCCAGCAGCTCAGCGCCGAGCTGGCGCGCGTCTCGGCTCAGCTGGAGACCGCCTCGGAGGCCGGTCGGAGGTTACAGGCGCAGACGGCCGAGTACCAGCAGCTGCAGGCCACCTATAACGCCCTGCTGCAGGTATAATGGAGGAGAGGGCAGGGTATAACAACGAGGGAGGGGGAGGTAGGGGGAAGGGCTTTTCCTGCTTGTCCCATCGTTTTCTTGTTCAGCCGTACCGCCATCAAAACTGTCCCCCTCCGCTCCAATGGGCATAATGGGATTGGAAGCTGCAGTGTCACTGAATTACAACCATTATAGCCAAGCCCACTGCTTCTCTATGCTTTGCTGATGATGCGAGGCCTGTAACCTCCACGGTAGGCCCCGTCATATTTGATAAAGTTTTTGGAAGACCAGCTCCCCTGGTGTTTTCCCATTGCTTGTTGGCCCAACAAGAAGTGTGCCAAATTTCAGCTTCCTAGCTCAACGTTTGCGTCTGCCTCAACGGCCTCGAAGTTTGGCTCATAGGGCATAATGGAGACTGCAATGCCGGTGTTAGCTGCATTCTCCCGGCAGCGGCGTTCCTTGGCACAATATCACCACGGATCAACTGCTGCCCCAGCAAGAGTTGAACAAAACTAATCTTTGCTTTCGCCCCCCCCCCCACATACACACCCCTCCCCCTCCTTATCCCCCCCCCGCCCCGATTTTTTGTACATCGTTTGATTTTCACGCATTGTTCACGATCACTTTGTTTTTTTTTCATAATGCCTTAATGCTGATTGAGACAAATATCACGTTGGTTTAAGATAGTACCTATCTTAAACATGCATGTGCGTATATCAATATCGACTCAATACTGCGGCGACGGCAAACTGCTAACTACGAACGACAGCAGCAGCCAGAGACCAAGACGGCGGGCACAGCACTGGTGACGGTGACGGGCACCGGTGTCACTTACTATGGTCGAGCCTGCGTGTCCGGTGTCGTGGCCTACCTACAGCAAGAAGGTTTTCTTGCGGGGCTTTTTGGAAAACTCCTGCAGTGCGGTCTAGGAGTGAACTCCGTAGTCCGCACTATTCAAAACTCAAGTCATTTCTTTCCATGCGACCACATAATATGAGGGCGCCTTTAGCGTCCAAAGAGGGGGGCAAATTTAAAAGTACAGGACAATGGGCTTGACCTGAATGCCCGCGAATGCTGGATACGGCTCTGCTCTGGAGGGTGAGGGGCGTCATGTTTTTTTTTTTTTTTTTTTTTGATGGGACGCCCAATCGCCTGTGATCTTCAAAGGGGCGCTTGTTACGCTTTGCAGATGCGTCTGTGGTATTGGCTAGTGTGCCGAGCGCCCTGATAACGCTATATGTAAGGCGCGCTTTAGCACTATCAATACCCACGACCCGTGCACCTGCGCCCCACACAAACCTCTGACGCAAGCAACATGGTAGTGGATTGCGTACTTAATAACATGAATCCCTGTGGTGCCCTTTCAGATCCCGACATCGCCCCTGTCAGTATTATGTGCGCATCATTCAGAGTACCTATATGACGTGCCCCTTCCGAAAAAAAAATGTTGCCCCCTCTTGATCACTCGGTACGCCATTCAACACCACCGACGTGTCTCTAAAACGTATCAGGCGACCCATTGAAGATCACGGGTGAGTGGGCGCCCCCATTCATTATCGCTAGCGTCCCTCAGAGCATCCGCCGCACCAGTAAATATCACTGGCGCCCCTCCAGAACATCCCGCGCCCGCATTTTAATATTATTGTCACCCCTCAAGAACATCCCGCGCCCCTCTGAACGATGACGCCCATTCCGCGGGGCAGGGCACTCGGCACACTTGTCAACACCACGGACGCATCTGCAAAGCTTAACAGGCATCCCATTGAAGATCACAGGTGATTTGGCGCCCGATTGAAGAAAAAACCTGGCACCCCTCAGCCTCCAGAGCAGAGCAGTATCCAGCATACGTGGGCATTCAATTCAAGTCCATTGTCCTGTACCTTTAAACTTGGGGCGCCCCCTTTGGGCCCTGAAGGCGCCTTCATATAATGTAGCTGCATGAAAGAAATGACTTGAATTTTGAAAACTGTGGAGTTCACTCCCAGACCGCACTGCAGGAGTTTTCCAAAAAGCCGCGCAAGAAAACCTTCTTGCTGTAGGTAGGCCATGACACCGGACACACAGGCTGGACCATAGTAAGTGACACCGGTGCCCGTCACCGTCACCAGTGCCGTGTCCGCCGTCCTGGTCTCTGGCTGCTGCTGTCGTTCGTAGTTATCAGTTTGCCGCCGCCGCAGTATTGAGTCGATATCAATATACGCACATGCATGTTTAAGATAGGTACTATCTTAAACCGACGTGATATTTGTCTCAATCAGCAATTAGGCATTATGAAAAAACAAAATGATCGTGAACAATGCGTGAAAATCAAACGATGCACAAAAAATCGGAGCGGGGGGGGGGGGGATAAGGAGGGGGAGGGGTGTGTGTGGGGGGGGGGGGGCGAAGGCAAAGATTAGTTTTGTTCATCTCTTGCTGGGGCAGCAGTTGATCCGTGGCGATATTGTGCCAAGGAACGCCGCTGCCGGGAGAATGCAGCTAACACCGGCATTGCAGTCTCCATTATGCCCTATGAGGCAAACTTCGAGGCCGTTGAGGCAGATGCAAACGTTGAGCTAGGAAGCTGAAATTTTGCACACTTCATATTGGGCCAACAAGCAATGGGAAAACACCAGGGGAGCTGGTCTTCCAAAAACTTTATCAAATATGACGGGGCCTACTCCACGGGTCTGAGCCGCATTTGCGGCCTGCACTGACCGGACCCCGTCCCTCCCCTCTCAGAGAAATGGAGAAGTCGTTCTGTCCGTGCTCTGGCCTGATCCTGCTATATTTCTCCCATATCGACGGAATGAGGAAGACATACAGGAAAGCAAGTATACGGGCTCGAGCTGTCCATACGCTATCCAGACCCGCCCCTATCCCCTACCCCTCCTACACTTCAATAGCTACTGAGTAGCTACTCGCTGACTCCACTGCCCTGCTCCCCAGATGTACGGAGAGAAGGCCGAAGAATCTGAAGAACTCAAACTCGACCTGGCAGACGTCAAGGAAATGTACAAACAGCAGATAGATCAGCTCACAAAGCGAGGAACGGGCGGCGGAGGATCCTCCTGAGCCTGGCGGCGACTGCGGCGCACCTGGGGCGAGCTGTGGGCCGCCTGGACCGGCTGCCAACCGGCAGGGGAATCCCTTCAGCTGACAGGGGGATCCCTTCAGGTGGTAGGGGAATCCCTTCAGGTGGTAGAGGAATCGGGTCAGGCCACAGGGGGATCCACTTGCCATTCCAAAGAATCCCTACCTGACGATGAGAGGGAGGGAGAAGCGTCTCCTCAGCGTGATGAAGGTAGCTCCGATTCTTCTGATCACCCAGCCACCTCGCCTGGACTGCCATCCGATAGTGTGATAGCGACAATTTCTGAGGAGAGGGAACCACTTCTATCGGGTGAAAAATGTGGGAAGAGTGAGCCTGGAATGGCATGTGATAGACAATGAGCGTTTGGGGCCAGACTGGTGGCCACACGGGCTGGTTGTGTCTCGGTTAGTCTGATATGTGGAGTTATATTGATACGTGGAGCTGGTATAAGTGTGGGGAAGTGACAGCGTTCTGGGCTCATGGCTTGTGTGAACTGGGCTTTATGCGTCGTAAAAGTGGTAGGATGATGGAAGAAGAATCGATCCCGACTCAACAAGCCGCAGTCCATACGTCCTGGTTTCAAAGTTTAAACCACACCACGGGTTTTTCTAGAGCCCATTAGCTCGTAGTGCGGTAATAGTCCGCATTTAGGCTCATATTTCTCCCATATTCTTGAACATATGCTCATGGTATGAGCCGCAGTTACATGAACTGCTATATTTTCACTTTGGAGTCGCGCAATGTTATGGGACTAGAGAGTCGCATGGCATCACTTGAGAAGCTGCATTTACTCCAAGACTACCAGTGGCTAACGACGGGAACCTGTACCGTTGCGTGGGGACGGGGCGACTCCCAAGGCTTTAAGCACGCCTCTCAGTGCTGGCACAAAGCCACTCCATCGCCCCACAACTCGTGTTGATGCCCTGCGGGTCGCCGCTGGAGGCATCTCTGGGGCGAACATTATTCCCGTGGCGTTTTAGCCTTGGTAGAGACCCGCGGCGCTTTTTCCCAAGTGGCTTATAGACAAAGGATGGCTTCACACAACGCCCAAACAGCTGGAGCTATCAGTGCATTTACGCGGATATGCGGGACTACACTAAGGCCGACTACCCATAGGGCATCCGGCAGTTTGCTGCAACCTGATGGCGTATACCATATTATACTGACGCTGGCGTTTATTTTTATACTAAACGGGCTACACGGGACCGTCCTCCGCTGAAGGCTCGCTATGAAAGTGGAAGGGGTCGCTCGCTATTTTAGCGTAAGGCCGCTCGTAATGATGATGTATAGTGCGCTTGCTATTGAGGTGGAAAACCTGCCCACTATGATAGCGGGACAGCCCGCACAGTTGTGATAATTTTCGGCGGGGCATAACAGGCACCGGAGCCCCGCTAAAACGGAGGGCGTTACTACCTACATAGCGCGAGTTTGTACATAACCAGGTCGTTACACTGTGTTTTGGTTGTGCCCAGGTGATAGGTTCTGTGCTCCGCTTTTGTTTTTTCGAGTGTGTACCGGAAAATTGTTTGAGATCGGTGGCTTGTTCCGTGCCGTAATGTTTGTTTGAGTGATTGTGCGCTTGCCCCCCCCCCCCCTCCCCCGGAGTCTTGTTTGATGGGCCCTGCTTACCCCGTATCCGTGTATGAATCCGGGTGCTTGCTTGTTTGTTTGTGCGCCGGTTTTGTTGTGTTTGTCGGGCGTTGGTATCGTGTGTGCAATCAGATCGTTTTTGCCGATTATTTATGATTATTTATCCTGTTATAGCCCTGATCGTTGCTGCCCGGGGCCGCTCAGAGTGTTACGTTTCCAAAGGGCGCCGCGGCGCGGATGGACAGAATATATTTATACTCGGCGTGGTGATATAACTGCCTGTTTCAAAGCGGCTTTGGAAGAGCCCTGGGCCAGCTGACTGATCAATGACGTCATATCTCAGACCGCTCTCACAGCTAAACCATAGTGACGTCATGATCCGCCCACACCCTGTGACATGTTACAGTCGATGCTGTCACACTCCAGCACACCTTCACAGCCGGGCCGATGACGTCACACCCGTACAATGTATGACGTCACACTACCAGCTTTACCTCAGCTGTGCAGTTACATGGTACGACACACTGGCAAGTCTAAACGAAACACTATCTCCAAGTTCAAACACACGATAATACAAGACAGGATAAGCAACCGAGAGGGTTTGTACCAACACAAAAGCAGCAATTCATACGCTTTATACACAACAGTCTTAGTTCAAACACGCCTCACAAGATAAATACACACTGACGCTGGAACATGGCCATCAACTGCGGACACTGTACACATGCAGTCAAAGGCAGCACATACGCGGCAAAGTTGGGTACCAAATCGAACATGTTTCAATGTTCACACAGCGCAGTCTCAAACCATATAAAACACTGGAAAACTGGGGGAGGAGGAGTCTGGCTCGTCGAGCTGCGAGTCTGCAATATTCAATCGGTGTTTGCATGACAAAGTTTGTCCTTTCGCCAGACTACGGGTCCTGCCATTGAAAGCAAGTTTAAATTGTTATACTTGCCGACGCTGAATTACTGACATGACGGTTGTATTACTGATGCCGATCTGACTCTGTTTGCTGGCCGTTAAACGTCTAAGTTGGTGTGCCCGTCTCTGCCTGCCTCCGCTGAAGATGGCTCACTTCACATCGTGCTTACACGGAAGCTCATTACCGGAGTAATCCCCGCCTGCCGCCGACTGCGCCAGTTCCCGGACGTCTCTCAGCTGTCTGCGTCCCCTGCCTCTTCCCAAACCGCTCCTAGCGCGTCCCGCCCGCCGGCTGCGGGACCTGCCTCCCCTGATCGCCAGAAGTCTCCCTCGGCTGCCGATCCCACCTCCTCGGATCGCCAAAAGACCTTCCTCGCGGTCCACCGCTCCGCGCCGCGTCGATCTACCGCGCGGGAGTGGACCTCGTCTCTTCCGGGAACAGTAGAACTCCACCTCTTCCGGATTATCGCATCCGTCTACCGTCACAATGGAAATGTCGCCTTTTGTCTCACTCTCACCCACACTCAAAGCTAGTTTCTCAGAGGCGACGTGTGAGCGATCGTCCTTAACACAACGCTCCATGTCTCTCGCGGTATGCACTGTTCGTTTTCTCATACCACGCATCGTCCGCTGTCTCGCATCACTCGCAGTCCGGACATCGGTTGAGTTCTACTTCTTCCAAGAGTAGACGAGTTCCAGCGGTCTCCCGACGCGCCAATATTTCTCACTGACCTGTTCCAAGCTGAGGTCACCGGGAAGGGTCACAAAGTGACCCGGCGTGGGCGATACGGCGATGGTGAAGTTGGTCAGGGTGCCGGCCAGAGGCGACTCGAGGTCCAGCGGCAGGCGCATCACCAGGTATTTGGTCAGGTGGTCCACTGAGGAAGAGAAGAGAGCGAGTCAGAATGTGGCATAGAAAGACATTACCTAGCACTAGTAGCTTGTGCACATATGATAAAATTCGATCATACGCCACACCAGCAAGTGGAACGCCTTTGGGAACAGATCGCATAAATTTGCAGTCTCAGTATTTCCGATACATCCATCATTCCATACATTCTGCAAAAGAAGCCCCGCGGGAGGCAGCATAAAGCGTTTCTAGTCTCAAACAAATTTGATCAATCACAGCCACATAAACGATTAAATGCTAAAACCATCTTATTCGGTAGTAGGTAATCACCAATCGCTTCATCCCAGCCAGCACGCACCGTCAACCCCACCTTTGCCTGTTCCCGCCCGCAGTAATCGTGTTACCTGTGGCGTTGGCCGTGGTCTTCAGGTACCGGACGGCGTTTTCCTTGAGGTCCTTCAGCAGCGCCGTGTCGGCGCTCATCTCCACCGGGTGCGGCTTGAACACCTGTGGTAGAGAAGAGGAAGATTAGCTTGGGTGTCAAGACTAAAACAGTTGCACAGATTATCGACACTTTAACTTTACTACGCATCCAGTAAGATAGGGGCATGGAGCAAACGCAAGCGATTATCAAAAAACAGCATAGGTACGGATTTGCACTCGAGAACTTTACACTGGAAAAGACATACGGACTCTTAACAACATTACGCTCAAGGAGGCACACATACTAATCTCTTTTATGCTTGACCAGAGCCACGAGCAGGTGAAACCATTCTTCCCATCCACTGGCCAATGATTTGTAGCATCTGACCTTCCCTTCCCTCCCCGCACTACTCACCAGCTCGATCTCAGGCACGGCGTTGCTCTCCTCAGCCGCGTCGCCGTCGTTACTGGTCGAGGGCGCCTCCAGTCCGGAGGATTCGTTCTCCGATGTGAGCTTCGGCCGTTTGGAGCTGGGCGGCGCTGCGGTCGTTGAGGTCTCCCCGGCACCGGTGGTGGGTGGCTCCGCGGGGGGCGCCGCAGCCGCCGCGGGAGGAGGTTCGGGGGCGCCGGCCGGAGCTGTCGGAGGAGAATTGAAAAATGATCGTTTTACGACCTCAGTGAATATTGTTGTGGTATATGAAATGGATGGCAAAGTTATTTCTAAAATGGTCAGCTTGTAAAAGCATGACATTTTGACGCAAAGTTCGGGAACAACCCTTTCATTATTGCCATTGACGGTTATAAGCAGTTGATCCTTCCTGCTAAAAATATACAATTCCCTGACGTATACCAATTACCAACCGCCCAACCTTTTAAACATCGAAACAAGTTTACTTCTACTGAAATACAAAAGAAATCACTCACTCTGCGGGGTGGCCTCGACGGGTGTGGGCGGCGCGTGGCTGCCCGGGTTACTGGAGTCGTCCGCGGCCGGCTTCTTTCTGTTCTGCCGGTTCTGCGCCTGGATTTTGATCCCCTCCTCGATCGAGCTAACCAGCGCCGCCTGACTGTGACTCTTGTTCAGCTTGGCCAGGACTCGCTCCTGATGCGCCTCGTACTCATCGCGACTCGGGTAGATCTTGGCGATCAGATTATCAAAGTTCGGGTCGGGCCGGAGTGAACGTTTCGAGACGAGTTTCTTCCGGCAGGTTGGGCACTCTTTGTTGCCCGATCGGAGTGCAGTGATGATGCACTCGTTGCAGAAGCGATGGAGACACTCCTTGGTGGTCATCGTGTTCTTCAGCATGTCCAGGCAGATGGGACACATGAGCTCGCTGTGGAGGCTGCGTGGCGACACGGCAATCACCGTGTTGTCGACGACAGGTTCCTGCGGCGTGCGGTGCAGCTCGTACAGGGACAGCTCCCATGTCTTGTTGGTGCCCGATGAGTCCGTGCTGACCGCCATACTGGAACAGGCTGTCACAGAAATACTGCAGAAAGACATATGGCATCAGCGGTGGCAGATCAGAGGACACAGGGTCAGATCGAATTGGGCAATGCTGAATTATCCCTCTCCACATATTTATTGTGGAGAGGGCATATTTAGGTATTTATAAAATTAGTTCAATGTTTGACAGGACAATGGACAGACCCAAAGCCAAATGCCAATGCTAAGCTGGCAAAGTTATCATGATAATGCAGCTGCAGCTGGCAAAGTTATCATCATGCATTATTTCTAATTTTGAAATTTGAGTTGTGTTACTGTTGAGATCATGGGATCAAATCCCATCGGCTTGAGAAGTGGATTACACCATGAAGGCCATGTGAAGACAACACTGATTGGTGATGAATAATGTTGCAGCTTGGTGTTTGACGAGATGCTTTGTTCAATCCAAATCTCTTGTAAATTGCACCATGCCTAATATTTGCATTTGATCGGAGGGGCTAAATAATTCCTGGGTGGACAAATTCAACCAACAAATCTCACATCAAATAGCTTAAATTAATTCATCTCAAATTCATCCACACAGGTCACAAAACACACCAACTCAACAACGCTGACGGCTGAAGGTACCAAAAGACAATTAATACATATTGATATGGACATACATTGTTGAAAATTCATAAATACACCTTTGAACTTTGAAGTGACAGCAAAAATAAATACCAACCTGAACCACCAATTCAAATATCAATATGAAAATCTAAATCCAGCCTATAAACGCAGCCTCCCAGCCTCACAAACACGAAGGCATAATAATTAATGTTCAATACGCTATTAGTAGAAAAAGTTCAAAAGCGACATCTCACCTTTCTGAAGAATGATTCGCTGACAGTCTGATATCCTGAGGACAGACACTGAAATTCCGCTAGCGATAGATCATCGAACAGCGCTGCGCCATAGTTTGCCTTTCCAAGGATTGCTGAATGACCATTGAATCGGGGATAATTTTTGATGACATATTTTCCTATTTATTTACGGTTTTCCAAAAAATAATGATATATTTATGCAACCAACTGTATTTTACTGAATATTAAGATATTATTCTGCAATAAAATGACCTATTGTTAGTTATTTGAGAACATTTTGAGATATATTTTTCCACATTTTACCTCATTTTTGACAGTTTTCATTTAGCGGGAAGCTGTTGACATGTTTGTGTTGACCGAGTTGGGAGTTGGGTGGTGAGTATTTAGTTGTGAATTATTTGTAAATCTGTTGGGCTATCTAATTCTACACAACATTTATGTCATGATAAGCACCGGAAATATCCTACTTTCCTTGCTGAATTTGAGAAATGCAAGAACATTTCTATTTTCTATGCAAGAACATGTCTCAGCTCATTAAGTTTCTCCCTTTTTTTGGGGGGGAGGGGGTATGGTAGGCATTCATTCTGTTGGTTTACCCCAAGTTCGATGACTCTTGGACGGCGAAGATTCGGTGTCGTCCGGCCAATCCCGCTCAAGGTCGGTCGGGGCTCGGCTGCGGTTATGGAGCATAATTGGCCGTTCAACATAGAATCTTTGTCGTCTGAGAGACATCAGATTATGCTAACATGGGGTTAATGTGCATGCTGA